GTAAAGAAGTTCTTCCTCATATTCAGGTGGAACTTCTGTGCATCAGTTTCTGCCTGTTCCCTCTTGTCCTTAAGCAGTCTTTAAGCAAGACTGCTTAAAGACTTGGTACCACCGAGAAGAGCCAGGCTCCATCCTCTTGACACCCTCCCTTCAGATAGTTTATACATGGATGACAAGACAAGAGGTCCCCTCTGAGTCATCTCTTCTCAAGGCTGAACAGGCCCAGCTCTCTCAGCCTTTCCTTGTAAGAGAGATGCTCCAGTTCTCTCGTCATCTTTGTTGCCCTCCACTGGACCTGCTTCAGAAGCTCCATGTCATATATGCATATACAAGTCATCTCTCAGCTTTATTTTCCCCTCACACATACAGCCCCCCATATGCATAGCCCATTTTTCTTACCTATTGTATTTTCTTCTTGTCTTCTTGACTTCAAATGGTGGATACATTGACTCTGCTATTGTCAGTACAGGTAAGAGGGAAACATCTTTCCTTTAGCTGCAGGCCTCTAGTTAGTCCCAAGTCCTCAACAGTACACAGAAACAGCTTTTCCCTTCACATGCTGGTCAGAAGCCGCTTCTGCAGCTCATTGGAGATTGCTCTGAGTTACTGGGGTAGGGAATTTTTGACAAGCAAAGTAATCCACAGATGTGGGTGCTAGGAATATCTGTCTTCATTAAAAGTAGGGGATGCAATGCAGGAACAAAGTAAGGAGCTGTTGTATGAGTGCTCTAAGTACAATAGCATTTAATTCTGGTATTGTGTAAATGTTTGATCTGCTGCTCATGTTTTAAGGTGTGGCTTGGGCAGGTTCTACCTGATTGGGACATAAAGAGGTTTACTGCCAGACATACCCATTGATATGTAGTCATTAACCCAAGCTTTGGGGGAAGTTTTACATTGTGGGTGTTTTGCAGTCAGTTCTAGAAGAAGTCTTAATATAGAGACGATAAAAATCTTAGCAGGCTGTAAACTTATATACTTCCTTTTTATGTTCTATATTTATTTACCCATTTAGATGTCCGTTATCTAGAATGCTTTGAAGCCTCCAGTGTAAACAAGTGGTCAAAGAAATGACCAGTGGTCTTTCAGCAAAACATGCTTCCAGAGTTTCACAGGTACTTTTGAAAGAAGTTTGTGCATTAAGGGTCATCCACAAAGCTGAGAAACAAGCTCTAATGCCAGTGTGGCTTCCTTCAAAAACTCTTACACTAGGAGGAAAAGGATATTCTTCTGGATGAAGAAAGGGGGATGTCCTTTTGCAGAGAAGTATAGCAAGCTGGAGAGGTTGAAGGTCTTCTGAAGTAAAGAATTGCATCAAGTGCAGCCACTAGCCTTGGAACTGACATGAAAATCTTTGCTTTGCTCCAAATGTCCATTTTTATAAATCTGTGAGTTATTGCTTTGATAGTGTAGGTCAAAGATCAATCCTGAATTCTATTTTTTGTGAAAGACACTCGTGTCAATACTTAATATGTTGTCTTTTATATCTCATCGTAGAGGTCACTTTCATTTTAAGTTATTTCTATCCCTAACTGAACTTTGAAAAGAGGTTGTGAAAGTTCTCAGCTGAAAGTTCTCAGCTGGAAGTTCTCAGCCCAGTTGTGTGCAAGCTTAAAGACTGCTAATGTGATGTTTTATCAACACAAATGATTCAGTCCTTCAAACACTGTAAAACAATAATTTTACAATCAGATTAAGTCAATAGTTGAAAGACTAAAGGAACTATACTGACTTTAGAATAGAGAAACTGCATGAAATTGAGGCAGGAGTAGCACTTCCAGATCACTACTGCTTAAACATCAGCACTATGGTGACACACGAGTGGGGAGAATTATGTGAAGTTCAGAAAGATGAACAAAGCCAGACTAAAGATAAAGCCAACAGAGAACTAATTAAAAAAAGATGAGAAGTAAAACAAGAACTTCCTTGTCTGTTCTATAAAGCTGACCATACCCAGATGATTACTCAGATGACCCAGTGTAACCATTTCTAAGAAAAAGTATCCTTTGTCTGTCATTGGGGGGGTTAAGATTGAAGTTGCACACATATTAAGCTAGAACTAACCATGAAGAATAGTATAAAGAAACTTGGCTGAACAAAGAGCATTATGCATTATGGTTATCTGGTTCAAAATTTGTTTCAGTAAGATAATCCTGTTCAGTTTTCAAATGGAACAACACAAGGGTTCAGCTAGTCAAAGAAAATCAGATTTTAATAGAAACTTTTTTTTTTTTGTGCATAAATACTGTGCTTAAAGGTGTTTGGCTTAACTCAAAAGACCACTTGACCAGAAATTAAATTTTCTTATAAAGTAGAGCCAAATATTCTATAGTAGAGGAAAAAAATCAAACTCTGATTTTCAGAGATTTTAATGGATTATCTATAATACCTCATCTGTCACATGCAGAATAACCATAATTTGCAATACTGGTGTGAGTTCCTCATCTAGGCAGGTGAAAGTCCTTACACCACCCTCAGAGTGAGATGTGAGCAGCTGTTTCAAGACTCAAAAGGCTTGCAAAAGCTAAGATTTCTGAAAAGTGAATAAACTATATGGAGTTCAACCTTTAAAGGACTGCTTGGCTTCAGCAGAACAAAAATGAGAGGTTCACTTCCCTCTTGAACTCCCCCTAGAATGCAGCAAGGGCACTTCTCTGGAGAGGCCAAATACTGGCCACATCTTTTCTTGGTCCATGTCTGGGTGGAGAGAGGAGTCCCTTGTTGCTTGGACTTGGACTGAAGATTTGGACTACAAGGTAAGGCCTAGAGTCTGAAAGGCTAAAACAGGAGCAGAAATCAGGGCAGGTGATTTCCCCACCAGTGAGTGAATTCTGTAAGGACATAAGGAAGGCTGCTATCAGTAGTAGCCCAAGTCAGGTATATGAACGTTCTGTTTCTAATGCAGATAGTTATCTAGTTAAAAGACATTTAATTACTTACTAAAAACTCTGGGCTTACAGATATTTCTTATATCTCTCTGATCTTGGTTGATGCTTCAGACCGAGACAGTTATTAGCATGCTGCCTCCCTCATGTGCAGGTATCCATATGTGCGCGTCAAGATGTGTGTAACTTCAGAATCTTCCTCCCAGGCACCACTACAGATATCCGTCAAAGAACTTATGAACAAAATGAGACCTAATGTTGACAAAAAACCCAGAGCTGTTGTGTAGAAATGTTTCTGCTTTAGGATGAGGAGTGTGGCATTGACTGGTGACACTCTTGAAATGATGACTACTTTTGGCACTTCAAGGGATCAGAGAAGGGAGCAGGGCATGCTCATGGTACTCTTTTACATCCTTGTACCTCCACACAGAGCTGTTACCAAGGAAATGCCAGAGGCAACAACTAGAACAACTTTGGCAGCAAGAACTCAGTGTGAATGTAGAGATTTTCTTTCTGCTTTTTCCAAGAAGTCCTATATGTTGCAAGTGACCAGCTTGAAAGAGCTGCCCAGAAGTAGGGCTTTTTGGAAGCTATTACTTCACACTGTATTTCTCAGTAAAGCAATGTCTTGCTGCAGTATATGAGAGCACTTGTCTTCTACATCTATTAATAATGAAAACTCTTTAAATTTGCCATTATGACTTGATGTGCTCAAAATGGTCTGCCAGCAAACCCACTTCTAACTGCCTCAAAACTGTAAAAAATAGGTGGTCTCTTCCCAAAATTCATCTGAGTTCTGTGCTGTGGAGCACTGGAGTCAGTCGGCAGATCTCTATGGCCTCCAGCTTACGCTTTGATAAAGGCTTGGAGAACACTCCGGTTTCACTGCAGTCATGGGAAGGAACTGAATGGGAGGTCAGAGTAAGTCAGCATGGTAAACTGTCCTGGCAAAAGGCTTTCAAAACTTCTTCTGAGAAACATCTTTGATTCAAAGCAAACCCAACTGTGCTTCTCAAATGTTTGTGCATGCCAAGGAACAGGATTTCTGCCCTTGTTTCAGGAAGATAGACTTTATGGCCATCTCTAAATCCTTTTCATTCACATTTTATTTATGTAATTGAATGGTTTCTTCTATATCATGTGTTTTCTGCATTTGTAATTTCACAAATTGTTTTCCTATTGCCTCAGGCTATTTTCTATCCAAATGTTGTAACCATTTCTATTATCAAGATTAGCCAACATGCCTGATTGAAATAACAATCACAGCTGACCAGTGCTGAGTATCTAAAGAAAAGTCTTAGAATTCATCTCTAAACTAAAAGGTAAGAAAAAGTGCTAATTCAGCAATACTTCTGGTTTTCTAAGGGTTACCAGGCATCCCATGATGTTAAAATACCACTTTTTTCTAGTCTTCAGTGCTTCTTTTGAAGATTGCTACAAGCAGACAGCTCTTTAAAGAGTTCTTCTGCCAAGTATTCAGCACAAATTGACAGAATCTTAAGACTTAATAGCTGCTTCAGGGGAGAGAAGCTGCACTGGGAGTAGAACTGCTTTTGGGAATAGAACTGCTTTTGGGAAACAAAATTCAGAATTTTGAAGAAGGGTCTGAAATCTGCACATTAATGGCAAGGTATCCATTTGGTTCCCAAGTCATTTCTTGACACAGGGAAAACACTGCAGGAAGGGCTCTGGAGTAGTGTGGGTAATAATCCTCTTGCCCTCCCTGTCTTATTTACTGATCATTCCCTTCCTTTCTGACAGATGAAGTAAGACCATCTTGTGCATCAGTGAGAAGCCTGTAGCTGGATAAAAGTGAGCTGAGTTTACAAACTGTGGAATAACCACAATGCCATTATTAGAGCATTTTTCTTCTCACACTAAAGGAGTCAGTCACAGCAGGATATTTGCTGTAAGATTCTCTCCTTCATCTATTTATTGGATAGTTGTTGTAGTTCCATAACTTTGGAAGAATTTCGTGTAGCCTGAACTGAGAAGCAAGTCATCAGTCCTGGATCTTCTGATGAATCCCATGAGTGTGGGGTGCTGCCCAGTAGCCGATTCTTACATTTGTTCGGCTCGTGGGAAAATTCCTGCATCTTTTTTTTCTTCTGTTTACTTTTGCTTTTTGCACACTGGCAGGATCTAGGGCTGTTGCAATGACTCATCTGAACATTGTACAAGGAGGTGCTCACCTGTAAAAAAATATTAATGTTTCTGAATTATTATCAGGCCCAGTTACTACCTAGCTAAACCATGAAATAGCAGTGTACACTTCTGGCCAAACTACAGCTCTTTTGAAACGTAACTCAGCAGGCATATGTGGCAAGTACTTGATGCAGATCAAGTCTATGGTAAATCCTAGATTTGAGCAGATTTGTTAGAGGGATGATTAATGCTCTTGATGTGTGTTACTTTTATAAATGCCTTTGACTGAAATGTTAATGTAATGTTAATATTGTTTAGGAGCCTTAAGTAGTGATTCATCTGAACACAACTGAATAATGCACCTTTTGCGGGAGTTTCCAGTTGAGGCACTCGATGATGGTATGTCTGGAATCTCTCCACTCTCTCTGCACAGCAAATGCCAGAGCTCTCAAGGTTTGAAGGACAAATAATTTTTCTCTGCAACTTTTTTTGTAACGTGGCAAATACAGTGTATCCATTGTGCTCGTTAAGGGATCCAGACTAACAATAGTGCATTTATTAACTGGGTTTCTATGCTTCTGGGGTTTTTTTCCAGAAATGTTTAAATGAACGATAAACTTTTTGTCTGCCATGTTACCTGTGAGTGATTTTTTTCTATTTCTAAGTTAAAAGCCAAATTGGACTTCTTTGTCCAGCAAAATCTTGCCACCTTGGTGACACTTTCATTCCAGGGATAACTGTCATCTTCCCTGTTCTGAGTTCCCTGTACAATGAGTAAGTCTAATCTTCCTGCTAGGTAGACTCATATTGTAGTGAAAGTCTGATATAGTGGGAACTGGGGGTAGACACAGCACTAATATACCCAGATGTCCCTTCTTTACTGCAGAAAAATGATGGAGCTGGGAGAAGAAAACAGAAGAGCAGTCTAAGATTCCTTTATCATATTCCAAAAACACCCTCAATGATATGTGAAACAGTTGCTACAGATGTCATCTAGGATTCCTTTAAATGTAAACTATTAGTCTGCACTGTGCCTCAACAGTGGTTATTTACCTACCAAAAGCCACAAGTGGTTATTTACCTATCAATTATATAGCTTTCCAGGAGAGTCATGGAAGCTTAAATGGTGCTATCACTGCATGCTCTTGTGTTATTAAGTCCTTAAAGCTGAGCTGGTCAGCACTGGTGACCGGCACCACAACTTTGTGCTCCAGGCAAGGCAGCATTTTTTGTTATGTGCAGGTTTGAGGAGGAAGAAGGAATAAAAATACTTGTACCAAAACCCTCTCAGCTTTGAAACTCAGTTTTATTGTGAACTAACAGACAAGCTGAAGAAGGTAGCATGACCCATCTGTCCTCAGAAAATGGATTTCTGACTGTGCAACTTCAGTGTCAAATAATAAAAGCCAATAGATTAAGTGTATTTCCCACTTGAAAGGGACAGGCCATTGATTCCTGTGTGAAGACAGGCTTTCATTGCACTGTTCCTTTGGAAGAACCAAGTGTAATCAAGTGTATGTTAGTTTCTGCATCAAGGTGCAAGGTAGTTTCAGGACTCTGAAGTGTAGCAAACAAAAACTTGAATCACACAGTTTATGTTTTAACTTCAGATGTGAGTAAAAGGTCACTAGCTCAGCTTCTGCTAGGATCCTGCACTGTCAGCTATAAATCCCTGCACTTAGGTGTATCATCTTCAAAGAGCTTTAACTGTGCCTTAAAATGTTTATGGCAGCAGGAGACCTTCAGGCCAAGGGGCTGATGCCCACTTGCCAGCAGGACACTGAGTCAGAGGAGGCCTGAGTGCAGAGACAGGCTAACTGAGCTGGAAGGTCTCTTTCAGATGAGCCATGAGTGAGAATGACTGGAGGGTTAGTCATTGCAGAATTCCTTGGTGAATGTGGCTGTGTTAATGGAGCTCAGACAGACTCTTCCTCAGCCCAGCATCTCCACTGGGCACAGGGTAATGGGCAAAGCTTCGTAAAGCAATGTTTTTTGCCATCCTGGCAGTCATATCTTCTGGGTGCAAGCTCTCTGTTCACCCAATGTGACTGCTAAGTGCTCAGGCTGTGCCCTAAATTCAACTGGTGAGTCACGTAGGTGGTTCTAGGCTGTTTCCTCTTCAGCTCTGGGATGTAGCACCGGCTACTTTGTGCCCACTCTAGCAAAATGAGGGGATGTGCTCAGACTTGAGCAACCTGTTAAGTAAATCCCGTCTTCTGGAAATAGGTGGATAAAGAGGCAACTTCCTAAATGTGATAACCAGTGTAATGTAATAGCAAACTCATCAAATAGCTGCTATGCTTTCCCATGAAGAAAGTACTAGGGTGTCAAACTTTACAGAAATTTAAAAGCAACTGTGTTGTTTCTAATGACTCTTCAAACTACCATGGAAAATCCTTATATTACAAACCTAGAAATCTTTTCACTGTCTCACTCTAAGTCAATGGCTCAGATACACCGCCAGGGGGAAGAGTTTGTCTGTCTATCAGGTACCAAGCCTCCATTCCTAGAACTGTTGAAAATTTAATACTGATTCTAAGAGAGAAATCCAACTGTTTTGATTATGAAACAGTGTTCTGCAACATGAAGTTTTCAGTAGGTTACAAATGAGCTAAATTATTTTTTGTGGTTTAATACAGGCTGCAAACCTTCCTTGAAACTATGTTTTTCTTTGGAAAATAAAAAAATGGCTGTCCTTCCTTCCTTCCTTCCTTCCTTCCTGCCTGCATTCCTTTCTTTCTGCCTCCCTCCCTGTCTGCCTCCCTCCCTCCATTCCTCCTTTCATAAGAACACTGCTGGCAGTTCGTAACTTTTGGATTCTAGTGTTATCTGAAATACAGGTTAATACTATTGAAATGCTTAAAACAATTTTAAAAATTAAATTCTCAATAAGCTAAGCTGCAAATGTATTGTTTTTTCTTTCCAGCCTGCAACCTAAAAGTGAATAGGTAGTTGGACGTCTCCTGCTGAGATTTACGAGCGTGAGCTAGTACTGGTGGCTTTTCAGAAGCTCTGTATAATTTAAATTTTGCAAAAGGAATGCAAAACTCAGATGAGGAGAAGAGAGGTGTTAGGGTGTGTGGTATTTTAATTTAGGTTCAAGCACGTTTTTATAGAGAGAATCTCTACATAGTCCTCACCTGCTGTGCTTTCGTTTGTGCAGTACAGCAGGCTTGAAGCATGTGACTATTTTGGGTGAAATTAAACTTGAAGGCTCTGGGAGTGCCTCTGATGCACTTGAGCCACAAACATAGGACTAGCTGCTGGAACCAGAGTAAAACTAGTCTGAAGTAGCAACTACTAAAGTAGGTATGGTTGCTGGGACCACAGTAAAGCTAGTCTGAAGTAGCAACTGCTGAAGTAGGTATGGTGTGGCTGTCTGGTCCTCAACACCAAATTCTTTGCAGAGATTTTGCTCATTGTGGATGCTGACACGGACACGTGTTGAAATAGTCTGTAAAATGTCTTTAAAGAGTCTTTAAATTGTCGAGCCAGAATTGCACAATTATACAGGTCCTGCATGCATACTAAAAACCTGGACAAATCCTACCTGTAGTTTCCTGCTCTCTCTGAAAGTATTCATGAATTTGCGAAGCCTGTGAATTTGTCAGCAACAGCCTTGTACTGTTACAGCAGGGAAACTGGCTTTCTGCAACTGCAAAGCTGCAAATTTCACCTCCATCTCTACTGCACATAGTGTTTGGTTGAACTCTAAAATTGTCCACTTTTAACTGATAATCTTTTCAGGAGGAATTGTTACTGTCGCTGCTTTGAGCACGAAGTTTTATTACTGACTTTTGAAATTTGTAGAGACAAACCTGGCTATGGCACCTGCTCTTGTTTCTTCTAATTTCCAAGACTATATTCTTCTTCTCCTCTGGCTCCTCCCTACCTGTAGCTGCAGAACAACTGGTTCTTGAGTGATTTATCAAGAAGCACAGAGGGAAATATCTGTGACCCTAAGCACACTAACAGCAACATGCTTCTGCTCCAGAAAGGGCCCTAAAAGCTTCTCATCCTGCAATTTGTGGAAAAAGAAGTCCTGTAGACACTTATTTTCTTGATGAAAGTCTTGGTATAATTAATGAACTTAAGAGTATTGACTTTTTAAAATGCGAATGCAGCAGATGTATTAAGAAGTCTCATTAGCTGTGCTACTAGAATGAAACCAAAGACTTCACAGTGTCCTTTGCAGGATTATTTTGGTGCCTGTTCCCCAGACCTTCTCAAAGTATATCCCACAGTTGATACTGGGTCTCTTTACACTGTACCTTTGTACACACACTGACAATGTGGTTATCATCCTGAAGCTACTTGTCAGGTAACATAGTATAATCCTAATTTCACTGGTAAGAGTGACTTGTCTGAGATCACAGTGTAAAAAAATAATAATCTTGATCTCATCATGATTCTCAGTGGAGTTCCCTCTGTCTGACAGCTTAAACTGAAGGGATAAAAATCAAATCAGTGGAAAACTGGTGTAGCTTGCCAGCTGTTGTCCCTGCATTCACTGTGCCTTTTGAGCTTACTTGATTGCTTTTTAGGGACATGGTTTTTAAATTTAATTAATGTGCCATTACTCTTTCCTCTTTCTGACATGAAAAAGCTTGAATAAATTGTGTATTGACTAACCGAACCACTTACAGCGAGGCATTGCACTCATCCAGTGGTGTGCACACTGGTATGTGCAAGATTTGAGGATGAACTTGGGGCCCACTGGGCCGCTACACCTGGGGGGAAATTCCACCTCCAGCCCCGAGCATGAGACCTGAAAGCAAATGTGACTCTCTTGTTCATGTTGCAAAGAAAAGTTGCCTCGTCTGTACTGCCTCTGCCTCAAGCACTTGCTATGTACCGCACAAACACATGTTTTGTGTATACATGTATGTATGTGTGTATCTACACATTGTATTCATTTGTAGGTGTGTAGATACATTTGTCTGTACTGGGTCTGGCTGGGATGGAGTTAGCTTTCTTCTCAGCATCCACTGTGGTGCTGTGCTTTGGATATATGGTCTGTTGTTATCACACGGGTATTTTGGCAGTGTGCTTGCATGGCTGGCTTCAAGGTTTTCTTCTCCCCATTCTATCCCCCCAGCAGGCCATTCATAGAATGAATTGGGTTGGAAGGGAGCTTAAAGATCATCTAGTTCCAACCCCCCTGCCACAGGGCTATATATATTGTATGTGTGAGTACTTATCAGTCCAGTGGAGTGCCAAAAGATGATTAAGGGTTTAGAATGTCAGAGACTGCAGGAGCTGGGCCTGTTTAATGGGAGGGAATCTCATTAATGCATATTAAATATCTCAAAGGCAGGTGCCAAGAGGACAGTGCCAGACTCTTTTTGGTGGTGGCCGGTGACAGGATGAGGAGACAATGGGCAGAACAGGCTGGAACAGGCTGCCTGGTGGAGTCTCCCTCTCTGGAGACATTCAAAACCCACCTGGATGAGTTCCTGTGTAACCTGTTCTAGGTGACCCTGCCTTGGCAGGGGGTTGGACTGGCTGATCTCCAGAGGTCCCTTCCAACCCTAACGATTCTGTGATTCTGTGATATTGAGGTACATACACCTATGCACAGTATGTATGTGGCTTTATGCATACATATGTATGTATATCTACGCATACCTACATACAGCCATAGCTGCAGAGGTGCACATACACGATTTTTATGTGCACCTAGATGTTTATGTACACATACACATACATTCCTAGGCATCTACAGACGTGTGTTTGTTATATACGCAGGCATGCATGTTTTGCCCGCGCACTGACATACATAATCCGTGTAAAAGTGTTTGTCTAGGAACACCTCCGTGCTGTGTATGGACACCCATCCACGCTGCGCTCACACGGCTCTCCCGGCAGGCCGGACCGGGCCGCGTCCCCATGGCAACGCCCGGCCCTGGCTCTCGGGTGCGGCCGCTGCCGCTCTCCGCCGCCGGCCGGGGCGCGGGGAGCCCCGGGACCGGGGAGTTTTGGGGTCGGGAGAGTGTGCCCCGACAAGTGGCGACCCTCGGCCCCTCGAAGAGAAACGCTGAAGTAAATGTAGCCCCGCTAAGGTTTGTGCTTGCCCAGCATGTCCGGCGAGCTGACCGAAAGTGTCATCAAGGGAATAATCCGCAAAGTCGGACTGGAGTGCGCTGCCCAGGGACAAACCCTGTCTGAAACCTTGGTGGCGTTCATGGTAAGCGCGAATGAAGCGTTCAGGGGGTCGCGGCAGCTGAGGCTTTCAGGGGTGACCTGAGTTTTGGAATATCTTGGTTTCCATTTGCCTGCATTGAGAAATTTTGAAGGGGCGTTCAGCGACATTCAGTATAGGGTCCTAAAAACCTGAAAAAGTAATTTATTCCTCTGAAATGTCATTTATGTGAATGTAAAATCCCAAGAAGACTGCAAGTCTTGAGTCCTGGAAACGCTCTGAGCTCCAGCTCAGAGCTCTTTCTTAGTTTTCTTCTACAGGCAGATAAACCATTGTTTTCTTTCTAAAGTGAAAAAGATAAGTGTTCCCAAGTTTTAATAATGTTTCTTCCCACTCTCGTAAATGAACAAAAAGGCATGACACATAGGTGAATGTTTATTGCAGCAGCTGTATTTATTCTTTGACATTTGCCTCTTCCCTCTATTGTGAAGGATTATTTTGTTTGTTTCTCTGCTTAGACAGGGCCAGGTGGTATAAATGGGCTGAATATTTGAAGCAGTGGGTTAAGATCCCATTTAAACTGAAAATGTAATGGAATCAGTCTTAGTGTTGTCCTTGGTAGACAACTATAAGTATCCTGAAAACATTATACACTTTGGCATCTCTTCAGAGGCACAGCACTGCTGCAGAATATATTCTGAATGTGCCTGCAAAGCTGTGTCTGAAGAAAGAAGGTGCTAGGTTCTTTCGTTATTGGTGATCAGCTCTTGATAAACTTGTATGTGAATGTAAATGATTCACAGTAGTACTGTTAATCTGCAATTTTTTCCCCCTAAAAGTGATGCTGTGGCTTTAGAAAATACATTGGGCTCAAAAGCAACATGAATCAATTAAGCAGAAAAATTTTAATGAGTAAAAAGCCTGTACAAGTGGCTGGCAAGACACCCAGCATGAACACTAGTTGCAAACATGCACATATTTTCCTGCATGCAGAACACTATGGATTTTTTATCCAAATGGTAGGTGTTTATACTGATGCGTATAACATCAAGTGGGAAGTTTATAAACAACTATGATGGATTTTCATAAAATGTTACTTAGGAAAATATTTTCCAGGTAATTTCTAAAGAAATTGTATTTAAATATTTCTCCAAGTTTGTCTCACAAATAGATTTTTTTCACTTATGCCTGAGAAGTGAGATTGAAACTACCAACACAAAAAATGAAGTAAGTTTGTTTCATTATAAAAGATTGAAATGGGGGAAAAGAATGGTAAAGAAATATTGAATGCATCTGAGATTTTTCAGAAAATAAAAGGTTAGTTGTTAAGAGGATATTTTGAGATGTAAATTAATATCTTTCTTTTGGCAATCTCAAGGTGAGAGCTGTTGTTTTAGATCCAAGAAATGGCTTTAATATGGATCAAATCCTTACAGAAAAAGATGTGCAAGATCTCATCCAGGTAATTCTGACATGATGTTGCATCAGTACTTAGCTAAGACTATGGCATTATTTGCTACCTGTTCCTGTAACTAAAATGACATGATCACTTTCAAAATTTTAGTGCTACTTTATCCTCATGGTTCTGTAGCTAAAGACTGGACTATGTGTGTTCCTCATGTAAATAAATGTCTTATAAATGCCTTATATAGAGAGAATGGTAGTGAGGGAGCTCTACGGCTGTTGTGAAACCTGTAGCACAGTCACTGTCAGTTCAGAAGTTTCCCTAGAGATGAGAAAGAACTCACTTCTCTGACTCTCTTCTTTAGCTCTGTGTTACCAGACTGCTTGACACAACAAATCCATCCCTGAGCACAATTAAGATGCAAGTTTACTTTGATATGAACTATGCCAACCGAGGTAATTTTGAAAATATGTTTCCATAGAAGTTGGTGCTGAGTTTAGAATTTAATAACTTTCTCTGTAGGGCTAGTAATGATTCTTGTTATTGACTGTTGGCAGTAAAGCAAAATAAAAATCCCAGGAGAAATGTACTGCATAGAGTATGATGTTCCAGTATGGATGTAGTAAAGAAAAAATGTACATTAGACTTGAGAGTACAATCTTCTCATCCTGTCTGAGAGATTTCCTGAATGTAATGTATTAGATTGCTTGAGAATAATTATGCTTTCAGGTGCAGTGGTTAGCTGCCTTCAGCAAGCAAATCTTGCACTGCACCTGTATGTCTGAAAGTACTCATAACTCCGCTCATGTATCCAAAAGAAAACTCAATGTTTTATCAATATCTCTAATTGAGAGATATGTGTAATCTTGAACAATCAGTTGCAGTTTTAACCAAGTATGTTTTGGTCTTATCAGTGGTAATTTCATATGGTCTGAGAATGGGAATGTAGAAGAAAAATGAGGTAGGGAAAATGCCTCTGCTGCAAATGTAACTTCAAATCTCAGTGGGACAGTGGAGGCTGGCTGGGAAACAGAAGACACAGAACAAGAGTAGACGTTAAAAAAAAACAAAACAAAACAAAAACCACATTTCTGTGTGGGGAAATCATGAAAATGTTTTCTTGTTAGCATGGATCAAAGCGAAAAATTAACAACACTGGGAAGCTGCTCCTAAGTCCTATGGACTCTATAAGCTCAGTAAGTGCAGTAAGTCCTATGGACTCTATAAGCTCAGTAAGTGCAGTAAGTTTCTGAGATCTGAGTAGTGTTCAAATTTGAGCTTGTAACTTCAGGTTTGTCTGAAATATATGTGTGTGTGTGTGTGTGTGTGTGTGTGTGTGTGTGTTAGGACTTGTTGCAGTCGGAATTGTCCAGAGTGTCAAGAGACTTGCTGCCTAATTTTGCCTGAATAGTTCTCTGGACTCTACTGACTGATGTTAATCATGCTAATTATGTTAATCTTTAACTCTGCCAGTTTCATTTCTAACAGTATGGTACTATGAACATCTCTTCCACATACCCGTGCTTCAGAAATCTTAATCTGACTGTGGAAATAAAATGCACCCTCTGTACAAGCCAAATTCCAAAGGATATAGGTAGCACTTTCTAAGTGTCCTTCTTTCCTAGCTGAATTACTCCATGAGCAGCAGCGCATTCTGGAAGGAAAACTGGCTCCTGTGGTCAGAGATATCACAGATAAATGTCCTCCTGTGCAAGAAGAAATAGAGAAAGTGTATCAAAATATTGTTAGCTATGCACTGCTGAGCTCTGGCCTGGGATCCCCTACAGATATTGAGGCTGTCAGGGAGGTAACAGGTCAGTAAACTTCTAGATCTAAAACTGGGCTTTTCTAATTGAAAAATAAAATTTCACCTTCTCTCTAATCTTTCGATACAAATGTGGTGAACTGTGATGAATGCTTACTACCCAAACTGTCACTGCTCAGACTTGAAGTGGAAATTTGCCATGGATTTCCTACTTTTTGCAGTTGTTGGGGAGAGGGTATTTTTGCTTATTTAATGATTTTCTTTTCTGTTCCCTCATATTGAGGTTTTTCTTCCCCTTTGTAATGGTTATAGCTGCCTTGCAGAGTGTATTCCCCCAGACAGAGATGACTGCTTTCATTTCACTCAATAAGAAGGACAAAGAACGACAGCTGAAAAATCTTGCCATGCTAGTCACAGGAATTCGGTTGTACAACAAGGAGTGCAGGAAAGGAGGAAGGAGCATTGACGACTGTAAGTAGGCAACTGCTTTTGGGCTGTGTATTCTCAGTTTTTTCTTCCTGGCCTTCTTCACTGGAGCTGCTCCAGTAATATCCCATCTCACTAGATAAACAGCTTTGACTCAGGGCCTGTAAACCTGAAGAAAAAATAAATATTGGCTACAATTATTGGGTTCCATGTAGACTACTACTTTCTAGCTAAGAGAGAGCCCTAACGTGGTCGATGTGTAAAGATTATATGTATTAACTTCATACAAATAATTTACCTCATGATAAGTTGTTCCCAGATCCCTTGCCATTAAGGGAATTAAATATGTAATGTTTGCCTTTTAAAGCGCTTAATTACAATCCATTTACAAATTTCTGTTGAGTATGTGTGATGAGAATTGATAGAAGTTGCTGAGCCATTATCTGTATTCTGGTAATCTTAAAATGTTCTCGAAAATCTTTTGCATTTTGAATCTTTCTGCTTCTTTAATAAGCAAAAGATGTCAATGACCATCCTGGATTTTTTCAAACGCTGTATTCAGGGTAGGGCAAGACTTTGATATTCCTTTTATTTTCTTTTGTTCCCCATCAGCCACATTATTTCAGCAAAGTTTACAATAATCAAATAAATGACTGGTCAGTGGAAATGTTTATGTGAACATCCATGTAGTATTGCAGCTCAATGTGGAGACTTCTTCATAAGAAAGGTCTGCAGCCCAGTTGTAGGGGAAAACTTTTTATTTTAAAAGACCAAAGTTTCTGGAATAAAGGCTATAGCACATGCCCCTCCTGATAAGACAGTTGTGCTTTATTGGAAGGCAAAGCACTTGCTGAACTTGTGGTATTTTAAGTAAAGCAATGTACGTAGGGAAAAAATATACCTACCATATCAGAGAAAGAAGTAAACAAACTCTCTAGATTTTGGTGCTTTTTTTTTTCCTCATATACCAAGTGACACATTAATGGTTTTCTATTTTTATAATACATTCTTTCCCACAAATGTCACCTTTCTGTGTTGTGGCTGTCTCCGTTTTAGGTTCACTGGGCCTGAGTTGCAGTGTGAGGGAACCTTCAACTACTGTATTATACAAAAG